AATGGTAAGCACTTACCGGGTAAATATTTAGGTGAATGACCCTTAAATCTTGGAGAATAATGACTAATAGGTGAAACTATACGGTCAAAATGATTATTTTAATTAATTTTCTTTTTTTTAATGGATTGATCGATAAAACCAATCAGTTGTTATTTATTTTTGATTATTTTTTTCTTAATTTAATTAGACAAGTTAAATTATTATTTATTTAAGCATGCTCAATTATGTTATGTTACTTGCTTATTTGGGACGCTAATTTGATTTAGATCATGTAAATATATTGTTGTTAGATATGATTAGTTGTGTACCCGTGTAATACGGTTGGAATCGTGAATTTTAACGATTTTGAAGTTTCACTGGTTTTATTAGAGAAGATTTAACGATGATATAAGTAACATTTGATTTTTACATATTAATACAATTTGAATAAATAAGAGTTATGGTTCCAATTATAGTCTATCGATGAAAAAAAAATTATATGACAGTTTAAAATTCAATATATTTGAAATCCAACATATTTAAACGATTCCACAAACGTGTTCGATTTACACCAAGAGCAAAGAATCAAGAGATCGAGAGCGAGACCGAGAGTTCTAGAGCAATTGAATGAGAGATGAATGAGAGAAATTTTAATAACTAATGGTGAATATCAGTTTGAAATCTCACATTGGGGAATGAGGAGAAGACATAGAGGTATGAGAGAGTAAAGACATGAGTGAAATGTGTCAAAAGTATCTTGCGAATATGAAAAAAAAGGTAATAATGTGCATTAGTAATACTAAGAAGATTTGTAAAACACAATCTATCTCGCTAACATTTAAAAATATATGTATTTTTTAAGCAAAAAAAGATAAACGTTACATTCTTTACAAACAAAATATTTATCTTGAACAAAAACAAAATATTGTTATTTTATGCATTTACTCCTTAAAATATTTAATTATTCCACGTAATCGGAGTAATGTGTCATTTACATCACCTCAGTTAAAACACATAAGCAAAAAAAGAATAAGAGATTGATTGGTTTAAAAACTAACTGGTTACCCATTGTTATAATGCATAAATTTTTCAAAATACAATATTCTAATAAAAGATAATATAAAAGTACGCTACTCTAATAAGAAAAAAGATTAAAGTAAAATACTATAATAAAAAAAATTATAAAATAATATTGTTATTTTTTGCATTTAACCCGTAAAAGATATATCCAAAAATTATTTATTTAAAAGAGTTTTTATAATATATTTAAAATAAAAATTTAGAGAATGTTTATTCATATATGAATGAGAGAAGGATACTTGAATTACATGCAAAGAGATGTTTGATGATAAGGAGTAGTAGTAGACACAAGTTTGAATCATTCATATATTTGTAACTTTGGATAAAATAATACCAAGAGGATTAGGTTTGAATTATTCCATTTGAATCATTTTGACCTTAACCCATATGAAAAAGTAGCTTTATGAATAACATTTATAAGAAAAAAGACAGGTCCATGTGGATGTGTATAGATTATTAAGAGTTGAATAAGGTGACGATCAAGAATAAACATCTACTCCTGAGGATTGATGACCTCTTTGATCAACTACAAGGAGCAAGTTACTTTTCAAAGATTGACTTGAGGTCATGATATCATCAACTCAAGGTTTGTAGTTCTTGTCTGAGTTTTGGGTCGTTTTTTCGCTCAACATGGAGCAATTTATACAGGACAGATGTCCTCAAAACTCATTTGAGTTAAAATCAAACCAATAAACTCCATGACTCACTTGATTGTTCAAATAAAGTCGATATAAACCAATATGTTACAAATACTCGATATGTAAGCAACTTATACACCAAAGATTTGAAAATGGTCATCACTAACTCAAAGGTCGGGCCAAAATCCCAAAACGAGTATTTTTCTCAAAACCAAGCGAATAGGCTTTTCAACGTGTAGAACTACTCCAAAATGAGTCATTATAATCTAAAACAAATTTAAAGGGTTAATAGATCTTATGACCCAAAACACCACAAAATCCAATAAGTTAAATCATGCATATTATTCGAATGATTTATAATATCAAAATACCCGAAAATGCATTAATATCAAATAATCATCATATGACAAATAAATCATCAAAACCCACAAGTTTTATGATTTATCATCAAGATATCCAAAAACCTCAGATATATGTATTTCTTAAGATTTCATTAAACCAAATACAAAAGATGCAATTTCATCAAGTAACCGACAACATTTGACAAAACTTAAGGAAAACACTTTAAGACTCTAAAATATATATTTTTGGCATGTACAAAGTTTTCATAAAACAACTAGAATTCACCTTCTAAATCTAGGTTTTACCCCAAATCTTGAGCTTCCTTTGGTGAAGACTTGAAATCCTCAAGATAGAACTTTAGATCTAAGTTTCAAAGCTCTCAAGAACACTCCCTTGAACGTCGAAACCCTAGCAAAACACTGCAAAGTGGAGAAGAAGGTTAAGGATATAAAGATACGAAACCCTAGGTTAAGAAACAAAGATTTAGGTCTTACCTTTCAACTTCTAGGAACCCCAAATTATCAAGGGAACTTTAATCCTCATTGTTAACCCCCCCCCCCCCCCCTTTTAAATAGCTTCAAAAGACAAAACCGTAGCCTCCAAAATCTCCTAAATCGGACAAGGGACGAGAAAGTTATGGCCAAATGAAGAAAAAATCACGATTTTAACCATCAAGTGGATTATGCGACCCTCGCCCCCAATCCCAGGATCGCATGTCACCGTCGCCCGTGTTGGCAAAAACCCCCAAACAGAAGCTTACCATCCAGGTCGTTTCCCGACCGTTTTCGACCGTTCTCCCCCAGTAAATCCCCGACCAATCCTTGGCCATTCATCGGCAATTCTCCGACTGCTTTTGGAAAATTGCAGGTGCTACAGTAGATATGTTGTACTTCATAGGTAAAAGAACATGTACTTGTTAAGTTATTGACAAATTAAAAGGTTCATAATTAATCTTGTTTAAAAACATGTTTTTATGATGATTACGACAATAATATATTTGTCATCTGTTTCCAGGAAGGTAGTCATGATTGGATTATAGTATACATTTATCGACAAATAGCTATATAAATGCATATCACATTTTAATGATGTTGAAATAGATTCATATCTACTCTTGCTTTGGTACTATCCTTCGGTTCTTCATTATGTCCACCATAACAAGTGTTCTCATTACGTTTATTTATTTTATCAGCTTTATCTTATTTTTCTTTATATTATATAAAAATCCGCGTCTTCGTATCTCTTCATACAAAATGAACATAACCCATATATGTAAAATGTCAAATTATCAAACCAGTCAAAATTGTATGACAAATGGTTTTTACATTTGATATTTTTGCACACTGGGTTTCATTACAGCATAATTAAATATGAACCACAAAAAAAATCAAGAACGAATAATGTATGATTTTGTACGTGAATATATATATATATATATATATATATGTGTGTGTGTGTGTGTGTGTGTAAGTCATGTATGATTTTGTACATGAATATATATATATATATATATATATATATAAATGAATCATGTATGGTTTTGCATGTGAATCATATATAATTTTGTACATTAACGATCTTTTTTTTAAATAGTAAACGTTCTCGATTGAACCTGTTTCATTTTATCTTATCCATTGAAACAACATATGACAAAAAAAAAAAATGAATAGCCGGAAAATAAAAATATTTATTATAAATTATAAATAATATTATTAAACATCAAACACATAAATAAAAATAAAAATAAAAATTGATAAACATATATAAGCACTTATTCAATATGTAATTTGTTTCCATTAATAAACATTATAGTATTATTCTAAAGTAAAAATCATCTAGTTTTTTAAACAACCATATTAGAAAAAGTCAAATTTTGTTTACGCTGTATTTCTTCGTTTAATTATATATATACACTATATTATAAAATATTTGATATAAATTCTTACATACTGTTTTTTATGTATGAAGTACTGTTTAATGATGCATATTACGATTACAAGTAATTTTGCATAAATACAACTTACTAAAGCTTTATTTTTAAATTCGTGTAACTAACGACAGATAAACATAATCAAATATAGAATAAACATTTATTTTAGATATAGAAAAGATCCCTAAAATATAATTATGATAATCATTAAGTTCTAACATAATATTTAATTATTATCTTTATAAAAAATATATATTAAACCAAAAATAAACTATTTATAATTAAATTTAAATTATAATAAAAAATTGAATTAAAGAAGCTATACCAAAAAAACGAAAACTATTAAATAGTTAATTTGATACTAATATCGATTTTTTTTCAAATTTTTATGTTATCTTTAAATTTATATTTTATTCAAAAATAAAAACATTACCGCTTTCTCAAAACTACATAAAATCGTACTACATCGATAGAGACAAATAATAAAAACTAAACGTTAAAATGAAGATTTATCTCGTTGTATTGTGTGAATACCCTTCTAATATATATATATATATATATATATAGAGAGAGAGAGAGAGAGAGAGAGAGAGGGAGGTTAGAGATGAAAACAGCTTCATTTTTGTGTTTTCAGTGTTAGGTTAGAAATGATATAAAATAATAATATTTTTTCTTTATTATATAGAAAGAGAAATTATTTCCTAAAATACATTTATCTAAAAGTAGATTTTCGAAATAGAAAAAAAGAAAAGAAAATTGATTTAAATTAATTGAGATGAAAAATAAAAAGTGAAAGCAAAGGATGCATTACAAGAATGAAAAGCATATATGAAACATGACATATATACGAGGAGAATGATGATGAGTCGGTGACAGGGAAGAAGCATGAGAGAGAACTCACAGACAAATAAAAGTCCATGTCCTTTTCCCCCTTTTTCATCACCCAATTTCATATTTTACTCCCATTTTCCTCAAATCACAAGTTTTCAAACCCTCTCTACTTCTATAAACATTATAAAACTTGCATCCTTCTCTCTTCCATCACAACAAAAGGAAACCCAGTTGTTGCTGTTTGATTTCTTCAAGGACCAGCCATGGGAGCTCGTTGTTTTTTCCTTTCTTTCTGTGGGTGGTCTAATCTTAAATCCAATGATACTCATCCGTCTGATCTGGGTATGTAAATTTAACTCTTCAAGTGTGTTTGATCATCATGGCGTCATTAAATCTCTGTTTATGTATGTCTACAATGTGTTTGATGATTTGTTTCAGAGAACGGTGGTGGGGATAACGATAAGCTAAAGCTGCCAGCTTTTAGAGAGTACAAGTTAGATCAACTAAGAGCCGCAACTGGTGGGTTTTCTGTGGAGAATATTGTATCTGAGCATGGCGAGAAGGCACCCAATGTTGTCTATAAAGGAAAGCTTGAAGATGATGATCGTTTGATCGCAGTTAAGCGGTTCAACAAGTCAGCTTGGCCTGATACTCGCCAATTCCTGGTTTGTCACCTCATATCCATCACTCTTTATCGAAATTCAGAATGTTTATGGATGTTTCATTTGTCTTTTTTCTTGTCGTAAATAACAAAATGCCCTCCATTTTATAAGAGCTACCGATTTTGGATGGTTTGTGGAAATTTAGAAACTTTGGAACTTTTTCTTAGATCAGGTTTCTTTTTGCGTTTTCTCAAGAAGCTGTTGTTTTAGCATTTTTGCAAGAATGGGGTTTAGAAAGTTGATCGATTCGTATAAGCTGGTCAACAGACAACAGTTGGTTAGAGGCGGCTGGCTTGTCCGAGTGATCAAGATTCAAGAAGTCTTGAGTTCAGATCTGATCTGGCTTGCTAGCAAAAAGCTAATTGACAGGTGGCAACTTGATGTGGTTGTTCATATCTTTCAAGAAAAAGAAAAACAAAATGGTGGGGAAGTGATAACTTCTAACCATCTTTATGTGCAATTCACGATGTTACTCGTTATATTACTTTCTAAAAGATCCCTTAACCAAAATATAATGAGTAGAAATGGCCCAAATCTAGCCGAATTGGGAGTCTAACACGCCTGAGGCTAGACGGGCACAAGTTGTCCCTACGTGTCAAGAGGTGGCTAGATGGTTGAGGGGTTAGACGAGTACAGATTTTCCTTTAAGTGTTCAAGTCCTTGGACTGGTAGACCTTGGCTCTGATACCATTGATAATTTGATACCATGTAAGAATATGTGGGACCTCATTAGGTTACTTTCCAAAAGAGTCTTAAGAAGAGAAAGAAGGTTCCGATAAAATGTTGTGAAATAAGGCTGTTTTCGTGAGACACGATTTTTACACTTGAAACTTCACAGCTAAACGTTGTGAAGGTAAAAAAAAAAACGAATCTTCACAGCAAAAACACTGTGAAGGTTACCTTCATAGTGTTCTGTTGTGAAGTTTCAAGTGTAAAAATCGTGTCTCACAAAAACAGCCTTGTCTCACATGATCCCAAGTCTATATATTGAGGTGTGTGTATATATATATATATATATATATATATATATATAGAGGAGAAATGGTTCAAATATAACCAAATCGGGTCTCTAACACGCTCCCTATAACGGAGGCTAGACAGGCATCCATGAGTGTCTAGAGGTGGCTAGACAGGTGAGTGGGCTATACGAGTAAAGATTGCCCTGAAGTGTCGAGTCCTTGGAGTGGTAGACCGTTGCTCTGATACCATGTAAGAATATGTGGAGCCTCATCAGATTACTCTCCAAAAGAGCCTTGAAAGAAGGTTGTAACATATACTGAGGATAAATGGTCCAAGTGAAGCTGATGTCAATGGCTACACATTGGATTTCAATATGCTAAACCAAAATCTTGTTATGTAGTTTTTGCGCTTGTGCAAGGTCTTAACCAGAGACCATATATATAATTCGTTTAGTTTGATATTGTGCATATGAATCCAGAAAATATGAAGTGAAATAATTGTGTTATTTTGTGTCACTAGGATGAAGCAAAAGCAGTTGGACAACTTAGGAGCCAAAGATTAGCCAATTTGTTGGGATGTTGCTGTGAAGGAAATGAGAGATTGCTAGTGGCAGAGTTCATGCCTCATGATACTTTATCCAAACATCTATTTCATTGTGAGTAAATTTGTCAATTATAATCACGCGTCTTTCTACATGAACTAATAACATATAACGTAATTTAGGGGAAAGCCAACCACTTAAATGGGAAATGCGTTTACGTGTGGCTCTGTATTTGGCACAAGCATTAGACTACTGCAGCAGCAAAGGGCGATCTCTTTACCACGACCTTAATGCTTACAGAGTCTTGTTTGATCAGGTAACTACACACATAGTTTTCTACAAGGCAAAATGTATAAAAAATGTAATGAAGTTTGCCTTAGTTTCTATTTAGTGTAACGATGAATTTTTTGTTCTCAATTAGTGTAACAAACAAAAAATTTCCTATTTTGTACCCATTTTATCTAATAAAGGGTTTTCAATCTAAGGGGTCATTTATCAAATGCTTACCGGGTGAGCATGGCAAGGACCGAGAATTTTACCCGGTAAGTGAGGGAGAAGACTCTTACCCTGTTAGTGCTTAGAGGGTAAGAGGCTCTTACCAACAATCAAATCTTATGGCCGAGAATGTTACCTGATAAGGTAAGGGTGGTGACCCGCACCGGTAAGCACTTACCAGGTAAGCTTTTGGTAAACGACCCATAAATGGCATTAGTTGATTTTGATGTGTCACTTCTCCTGAAAATCAAGAATTACATTATAACTTAACAACTTGATAGTTACAAGATTTACCGGTCAATAGTCAAAATGGGCACGTAATAGAAAGAATTAAGTGTTTGATTAACTAATTGAGAAAAAAGATCCATCGTTACACTAAATAGGAACTAAGACAAATTTTGTTGCATTTTGATGCATTTTGGCCTTCTCCAAATCAAATTCCCTTCTTTTCTGTTTTTCTTATTCTTATTATTATAACTGGCAGGATTGCAATCCCAGGCTCTCATGCTTTGGCTTAATGAAGAATAGCCGAGATGGAAAAAGCTATAGCACAAATTTAGCTTTCACCCCTCCGGAATATATGAGAACAGGTATGGCAAATTGTCACAGAAAAGTAAATAATCGCGCAACATTCTGCAGGTAGAGCAAACTTATGTTATTTTTCTCATATGGCAGGTAGAGTGATAGCTGAAAGTATAGTTTACAGCTTCGGCACCATACTGCTTGATCTTCTTAGCGGAAAGCACATTCCCCCGAGCCATGTAAGCTCATTCAAGTTTTGTGTACTCATTTACTTGAAGATCTACTTAAGCCTGCAACGGTAGTTTCAAATTATAATCCCTGTGGTTTTAATGCAGTCTTAACTAAAAGCGTTAATTTATTGAAGTTTTGCTAGTTGAATGTATGATATATGGAGACATTAAGGTCATGTTTCGCAACCATAAGCTAACTTATTCTTTGACCTTATTGAAAAACCCTTTTTGGTTAGACATATGCTAGCGTTTTAAAAAGGTACTTCAGTGTTTTAACAAGTCCCACGAGCTGTTTTTCATTTTTTCCAGCTATGCCTCTTATATTTTTACAATTAGTTTTTCAACACGTTCTTTTAAATTATTTTACGTTGTCATCTATCTAGTTTATCAGCTAACAGCTAGCTTATCATCTAGTTTTGCAAACATGGCCTTAATTAATGCTTCAAATTTGGCTAAACAAGAAGTAAGCCATTAACATTTGGCCACTTTGTCTTTGCAGGCACTTGATTTGATAAAAGGGAAGAATTTTCAGATGCTAACAGATTCATGTTTAGAAGGTCATTTCTCCAATGATGATGGAACTGAGTTGGTAAGGATAGCATCACGCTGTTTGCAGTATGAACCTCGAGAGAGGCCCAACGCAAAGTCTGTTGTGGCTGCGCTCACTCCTCTTCAGAAACAAACAGACGTAAGTGCACTTTCTACAGCAAGAAAAAGATTTAGATAAGATCATAATTGACTAGTACTATCGTACTAAGGCCAAGTCGTTCATGAGAATTTCTCTCTACAAATGAAACATTCTATTGGCTCTTAAGCTAGCCGATGGCTGAAAAGCTACGTGTTAGCTAATAAGTTGGCTGATAAAATATTCACGTTTGGTAAAACTAGCTGATATGCTAGATGACAATGTAAAATGACCAGCCATAAGGTTTTTGCTCATCTATGTAAAATATATAGGGGCATAATTGAAAAAACCTAAAGAAGCTTCTGGACTTATTGAATATTTAGCCTACTTAAAAGTTGCAATTTAACAGGTTTCGTCCCTCGTCTTGATGGGAATTAGTAATGAACCTTCAGCGGCCACACAAATCTCAAACCTGTCACCACTTGGAGACGCTTGCTCGAGAATGGATTTGACTGCCATACACGAGATACTGGAGAAGATTGGATATAGTGGTGACGAGGGGGTTACAGATGAGGTATTCTCTCAAACACACACATACAAAATGGTTGATATTTGGATACATATTCTCATTGTTGGAGTCCCACATTGGCTAGACTTGGACCATTATCTTCGGTATATGTCCGAACCTATCTTCTCTATTCAAAGGCTCTTTTGGAGAGTAATCTAATTAGGTTCTACATATTCTTATATGGTATCAGAGCCAAAGTCTACCACTCTGGAGTCAATACTTTAGGACAATTGTACTTGTCTAGCCCCTTCTCGACACTCGGGGACAATCTATGCTGGTCTAGCCTCCACCATAGGGGAGTGTTGAGTCCCAGATCGGCTAGACTTGGACCATTATCCTAAAATATATGTTAGAACCTCCTTGCTCTTCTATAAGGCTTTTCGTTTTCAGAGTAATCTAATGGGGTTTCACATATATGCTCACACTCACCATAATCGGATAATGATCCTCCCAAACGTTTCCTGAACTCATTTGTGTTTGTTTTTTGCAGCTCTCATTCCAAATGTGGACAAATCAGCTACAGGACACCTTAAATGGCAAGAAGCGTGGGGACAGCGCCTTTCGAGCCAAGGATTTCAACACTGCTATCGAATGTTACACAAGTGTAAGTGGTATAAACTTTGATTATTTAAAGACAAGTCTTAACGGAAACCGTCTTTCTACCCCTTGGGGTAGAGAAAAGGTCTTTGTACCGTGTCTATTTTTCGAGTGAGATATACTCGGTATTTGGTTTAGTCTAGTTTTCATTGTGGTTTCCTATATGTTAAAGTTGAAAATCTTGGGTTGTGCAGTTCATTGAGAGCGGGACCATGGTGTCGCCAACAATGTACGTAAGACGCTGCTTGTGTTACTTGATGAATAATAAGGCACAAGAAGCACTTGGAGATGCCATGCAAGCACAAGTCATATCGCCTGATTGGTCGACTGCACTTTATCTCCAAGCGGCTGCTCTGTTTACCCTCGGAATGGACAACGATGCCCGTGAAACGCTTAAAGATGGCGTTTCGCTGGATTCTGAAACAAAATGAAAATGAAAATTTGTAGATTTTGTGTTGGTGGTTTTAGGAAATGTGGTTGTAGTTGTAGATATGTGCATTGTGTTCCTATCAGAGACATGCATCAGAGTGTTTGTTATGTGCATTCATCAAAATTAAATGATTTATAAACTATCTGTTGGCTTATGCAGTATTTTTTTAATATAATATGGTATCAGAGCCATTTTTAAAAGCAATAAAAAAAACTTATTGACGAGTTAGAAATGACGACAGATCCTCGTCAAATTCCTCCATTATTGCACGAGCACCATGATCATCGGTGTGTTGAAACGACGACCATTTTTAGACGTGAAGAAGGTCGATTCCCTCTTTGTTTCATCATTTAACTCGTTTATTCTGTATTAGTGGTTGAAAGGGCAAAATGTAATCGAATCAAAACTAACTTTATGTTTATTTTCGGAAACTGTGAATCGAAGTTTTTGTTTCAAGACATCGTGATTCAAAACTTCTCTTTTACTAGATCTCGGGGTCAAATTCATATTTTTAAAGAAGGCAAATCGGATACAAACGTATTTTCAAAGCTTTCATTTTGATATCTAGAATGAAAATATTCAAACATTTAAATACCTGGATAATTGGTTTAGCCTTTAACCGGTTACCATGCTGACGTGACTGATGATATGGCAAACATGAAAATAAGTTGGTTCTATTTTGATTTCCACGAAAGCAACGAAGGACTTTTTCGTCAGGACCGATATACAAGCTATTAGCAGTCCTTAAGCTAGTTCGGTTCACGGACCAAATCAAACTCGACATGGAACAATGCGGTTCAATTAAATACATTGTGGCTTCCACTCACTTATCGTTTGGATACTATAGATGTCTAGTTCAACTTACACGCACACTGACTAATCCTAATCCTACTGGGACTGAAGCTAACAGCCAAACAAACCTCATGGAGGACGAGGTTAACAGCCATATAAACATACCTATAATGGCCCCTGCGGGTTCAAACCGGTAACCACTAATATTCAAATCTAGAGATTTTAACTGTTGAGCCATCCCAAAATTGCTTCCATTCACTATTGTTAACTTGAATGGAAACCATAATATTAAGATTGACAGGTTAACCCCATTCCCGAATCTAACTTACCAATTTAGGTTTTGTGGAACGGACCGAGATTTGCCTATTAGACCATCTCCAATCGTAGCACCAAAAAAAACACCAAATTGGTGAGGCCATTAACACCAAAAGTTGCTTTTAACTCCAACGACACGATATACATACCGTTTGAAAAGAAATCAAGTAAACTATTATATGATTCATAAATCATCAAAACAAGAATCTGCAAAAATTCTGGCAAAATGTGGACATTAACTTCCCTGGTTCATGGCTTGGACTAAAGATCTAAAGAATCCTCAAGTATTATTGAATATCGCAGGCGAAGATTTACATAGGTGGTCTGCCAGAACCAAGCAGCTGGCCTATGAGATTTGTGACCTGAAAATAAACGGGAGAACGTGTTATACATCCATAAACCAAGCTTAACTTGATTTCTTTATCACTTGTTATGATCACTCGCTATTGCAGCTTCGTTTTCTAGTTTCTCTAAACAATCATCGTATCCTAAAACCCTCTGAATGATTTTGGATCATAGGTCTCCCTTAACCATTCAGCATCCTAATATCATTGTAAACAATTACCAAATAGTTATATTTCATTTTGCACTATATCATGAGAGTCTCTTAATCATTCTGACCACTTAATCATTTTGCACCAAACCATTCAGCAACTGCCAAACAACCCCTTAGTCAAGGTTATTATAAATTAAACTCGGAACAAAATGAGGTAGAAGTTTGAACCAGTACAAAGACTAAATATCAGAAAAGGTACCTGCCAATATTTTGAAACACAGCGGTCAATGCAGCTGTTTTCACCCATGTTTAATTCGGATTCTTTGTACCTAAAACAATTAGAATATTTAAAATCATGTTCTAGAAGAAAAACTAGACACGAACCATACTGAACTAAAAGAATCTTATAGGGAGTTGCTGTCCATGGATGCCTATTCGTTGTGAAGAGACAATACCTTTTCTCAACACACTTGGCGAAACATGTCTGGGTTAGCCTGCATCAATGTATACACATGTGTTTAATAAAGGCTTGCATAAACAGAAAAAAACATTGTTGATACTTAATCTTTGCATAATGCAAAGTTAAAGTTCCCTACAAATGATAAACTATAACAATCATGGTTGGCATATGCATCTCACTGTTGCAAGGGGTTATCTGTGATTGCTTGATGCTTGCTACTCCCTCCGTCCCAAAATATATGTAATTATTACACTTTTTAATTAAATAAATTACAATTCTTATCCTCGATAATTGGAGTAATGAATTTCTCCATCTCATAACTGGAAAGTAGACACTTGTTTTGGAACAAATAAATAGAAATGTGAACACTTATTTTGGGACGGGAGTATCACATTGGAATTGGACATAACCTCTCTAAACATTTACTTAGCATTATCCATGCCTTATCAGAGCCAAAAACATGTTATTCTTACATACGATGTTTTGATTGCTTAATCAAAGTTCCTTTACCTAATATGTCCATCTTTTAGAAGCTCAAGTTTGTCTAGTTGTAATCAATCTCAAAAGGAAACAAGTCTACCTCATCAGATTATCATGGATATTCAAGTCTAACATTCCCATAAAAAGAACTAAAAAAACATCCTGCAGTTAAGCTCTTTATGCTGATCTAACAAACTACTGATACTCTGATAGGTTCTCCCCATAATTTCTTACTTAAAGAAAAGGGAATCACTAATTAATGAAGAAAAACATCATTGTTTCAATCAATAACATCATCTTTCGTTGGAAAATTGAAACCCATCATAGAAATGGACCAGGTGAACAGCAATTTATATAATGACCGCCAACGGGTTTTTTTTCTGTTCATATGTATTTTCTTTAACTAACAGTTTGAAACCATCAGAATCCCCCTCTCCCTTAAAAAAATTGAAAGTCTACAATCCTCATCTCTAGGAATAGTGAATTTAAAGTCATCACAGCATATCGAAAAAAGAATCAAGGACCTTACTTGTTAAACAATTCAACCCTGTACTCCATCTCCTTCTCTGCCATTCCAAAGATCTATAAATCAAGAATAGAACAATAAGGTAATTAACATCAGCTCCATCATGGGATTAGTTACTCCCTCATTTTCACAAACAAGACATCAAAGAAGATGAAGATGTAATTATTTTCTATGTTGAACTAAGTACTCGCCAAAAAAAAACCAATACGGATTTTGATGAAAATTATAAAAAAAAGGAAAAAAACCCCATCACTCTATAAATGGTACTACTTGTTATCAAATGGCCAGTTCGTTAGCAACTTAGGGGTTGTTCGGTTGTGGTTTAATGGGCTGTATAGCCTATATGCTTATTCGCTCAGACATAAATAGCTTGTTCGCTAAGCCACAAATAGTTGTTCAGTTGTGGCTTATTCGCTCAGACGATGACCTATTCGGTCAGCTAGTATCCATTACTCCTTTACACTCAACCATTTAATTTCCACGTAATTTCCCCAACTACCCTTGCAATAAAGAAACTCTATCTTAAATTCACGCTTCCGGT